AATTTCTTTACGGAATTGATAGAGAATATTAAGGAAAGAATTTGAACGGTAAATATGATGTTTCAATTGATTCTAAGAAGGTTTGAAATTTAGGGTTTTTCTCAAAACTCTTTCCCTTTGAAAATGTTTTCACGAATGTGGTTCTAATTGTCTTTAGGGATGATTTTAAAGAATGAAATTTAGGGTTTTTACACATTTTCATTTTTGTAATTTTGGATTATTTTAAATCCGAAAATAATATTAATTATTATTAAATTTTAAGATGATGAATAAGAAAATTTAAGATCCTTAAATTGTTATTAATTGCGTTTATGAAATATTGTAGATAAAATTTATTATAGATATTGATGACTTTTACTTATGCATAATGTTAGGTTTTAAACATTAAGGGACGGACGACGCGTACTTAAGTGACATCGTATGTGGTAGTGATTGCTTTACAAATCTTGTGAGGTAGGTACTTGTATTTAAATCAAATTTATGTCTCTAAATTATTTAATTTTTTCTTTAATGTTAAGGAAATCATGTTTAGTTTATAACTGTTCAATTTCATGCAGCTTTTAAATGTTAAGTTTGAATTTTTATTCTTACATAAGAATGGTGTTGTAATTGCTTAATGTCTCACATTTGAATTCTAGATAAATATGGAAAATATTTATATATGAAACGAAATGAACGAACCCTTATGAAATTCTGAATAATTTAACCCTATAAGATCTATTAGATTTCATATGCATGTTGATCCGGAAGTACCAAACTAATGGTAATGGGGCTTTCAAAAGCCAAATGGTAATGGGGCTTGTATAAGCCAAATGGTAATGGGGTTCTTCGGAGCGAAATGGTAAAGGAAATGGCCAAAACCTTTGACTGCGTACCTGATCAGTACGAAAACTGGTACTTCCGGGACGGGTGAATATTTTATGATTAAAGCATTTGATGCATATAAATGAAAGGATTTGATGAAAAGGAAAGGTTAATGAAAGAAAAAGTTTAAGATGAATGAAAATACTCAAGAAAATATTTAAGGAAAACTCATGTATGAAAATGTTATTAAATTTATGCTTATCAATGGTTGTTTTTTTTTTTAAGAAATGAATGTTTTATTTTTATTTAAGTCATGAATTTGAATTGAATACATGTTTCCTGCTGAGCGTGTTCTCATTCCTCGTTTGGAAATCTTTTTCAAGAGAAAAGTAATGGCTGCACGACGACCTTACACTTATCGTCGTAGGGGACCTCAGGAGGTTGAAAGGTTCCTTTTTGTGTTTTTAGTTTGAGTACGACTTTATTTTTCATGCAGTTTGTGGGTTTGAGTTTAAAGTTTGGAGTTTATATAATGAATGTTTAAAGTTTAGTAGTTATGTGAGAGAGTAAATGGTTTGGAACTTTTATTTTCATTTCGGGTGTATTTTTAGTGGCTCTTTCAATTAATATTTGGATGATGTTCAAAGCATTAATATAAATGGTTTATGTTTATTTATGTTTTTTTCTGTACGACCTTTTTGCTCCCGCCCCGTTAACTCGGGCTAGCCGGGTCGGGTCGTGACATCTAGCCGCTCGTTGAGCCGCTCAATTTTGATTTATCGCCCACTCGATTTCATCATTTCCCGCCTGGTTTCTCGACAAGCGAGCCAGACAAAACCTTGGGGTGCTCATCCGCACAGCTCTTAACTGTCTATTGCTTGTTTTTCCTTATAAATAAAAGAAAGATCTCTTGCTTTTTCCTACAGATAAAAGAAAGATTTCTTGAGGGAGCCAACACCTGGGGAATATATTAAAAAATTTAATGCCTTTGTTTTGGGGAACTGTTCTATGCATCTTTTTTTTTTAAAACTGAATACAGTCATTTTATTTTAGATTTAATAATTACTTAATTTTAAAATTTTAAAAAATTTATTCGAGTCGGCTTGCAAGCTCACGAGCCAAGCTCATCAAGCTCGAACTCAAGCTCGTTTACGAAACAAGCTCGAGCTCGACTCGTGAGCTCGATAAGCTCGGCTCACACCCCTAAGTCCTGCTGACATTGTTTATGGATACAAGCCTAGACAACCATCAGATCTTATCCCTATGTGTCCTAGGTATAGTACCTGAGTCTACATCCACATTTGCATCATATTTGCATGACTTACATAAATAAATTAAAACTTGAATTGAAGAAAATAATGCAAGCTACAAATTTCATGCATATCTTAAAAAAAAGATTTAAAACATTTGAGGTGGGTGATTCTGTGATGGTTCAGATATGTTCGGAGCGGTTCTCAAAAGGAATTGTAAAGAAACTGCATATCAAAAGTGTTGGACCTTTGAAGGTGATAAAGTGGAGAGCCTACGAGAAATCAGATTTTAACCCACCCAATCCACTACATTATGAGCCTTGTGTGATCCCACCTTATAAGCACCCTAGCCTACCTCCACTTCCCATACCCAAATCACCCAATGCGGATAAAGTTGACATGATCTTAAGTGATGAAATCATTTCTACAAAGGAAGGCAGACAGAGAAGATATCTACTTAAGTGGAGAGGTAAGCCCGAGACTGAGAATACTTGGCTAGATCGTGAGGAGCTGCAGAAAATTGATCCAGATATGTTGGAGTTGTGTTTAATTTCATAATGCAAGTCTTTACATACTAGTCCTATATCATAACTACAAGCATGACAACTCCAGAAACAAATGTAAACAATTAAAAGAAACGAATTTACTTGTTATTTGTAACGATGCATATAGATAATTAAATCTGCTAGGTTCTTAAATCATTGAGTGCATGGTTTTTATAGTGACTAATCTATGTTAAATGATGGATCTTTTTTTCCAACCCATGTTAGCTAAGTTATTGATTTGATTTATCCTTCTTAAATCTTAGAACATTGGTTGTGGTTAATTGTTATTTGTGGATTGTCTTTCTTAGTTGTTTTGAAGCTTTTTTTATGCATCTCCATGATTAATAGCTTACTGATTTGAAATTCAACTTGTGTTTAATTTCATAATGCAAGTCTTTACATACTAGTCCTATATCATAACTACAAGCATGACAACTCCAGAAACAAATGTAAACAATTAAAAGAAACGAATTTACTTGTTATTTGTAACGATGCATATAGATAATTAACTAGAACACAATCAAAACTACTGCCATTCATTATAAAGTGCTAAATCACTTGATATTTTAAGCATTATGTTAATTCTACACAAACATAATAATAATCAGCATATTTTTTGAAACTATTAGTATGAATGTAGTTCAAGATTCATGATCTAAGGCAAATATTTTTTCTTTCTAGACGCTGCAATTATGATGGTTCAATTAAAACCACTTGGGTTCTTATAAAAGCAACAATCAAATAGAAGTTGCTACAATTTCAATAAGATCCGTTTTAGCATTTACAACAAATTTGTATTATTAAGTTAATTCATAAGCCCTAGGCAGGTTCCTATAAACTAGAGCATACAAAACATTAAAGCATATCCAGTTTTTTTTTTTTTTTTTTGCATTAAAGCATATCCAGTATAATCCTTTACGTAGAACATAAGATAATTCAGCAAAACAGGAAAAACTGATACATGGTTTGCACAAAAATATTTAAATTTAATCTCGTAGAGTAATTTACTTCATGCAAATAAATCTACTTATGATATTATTAAAAGAAAGCCTGAAGATCGGGAAAATGATTACACAGAAACAATATACTATGCATAGCCCTAACCAAGAAAAAAAAAATTGTACAAGGGTAACATTCAGATGTTCCTACCGTATTAGCATCACGAAAGTCGAATGACTTGTCCAAGACACTGTACAAGCAGCAGCTAGGTGCAAATTTATTAATAATGAAGCCTCTAAAACCAGGAACCTGAAAAGTTTATTTTCCAAAATTCAGTACATTTTCATGCATGCACATGCACTTATGTGGGCAGACACCCAAGTATGCCCAAGTACATCCAAACACTTCAAAATAAATATGCTTGCATGCATGAAAAACTTCTAGACATTAAGGCATAACAATGAAGCTCTGTGTGTGTATGAACAACTTAATGTATTCCATCAAATCAAAAAATAAGGGAAAGTTACCTTCTCTTCACCAGCATCATTAGAGCACCAGTCTTTAATAAGTTTGACAAAAATCTGTACACACATCTGGAAAATAGTGTTGAACATCATATTACTTCATCCTTGTCTTTGTCTTCTAAAAGATAATTATTCTGCAAAAAATGACAGTAATCATACCTTCCTCACAAGAAGGTCTTTATGACTGCATGAGGTTAACAACAGTAACTGCATTATAGCGTCCAAATAACCCCGACTATTTGGAGCAAGCAAAACTGAAGAGAGATCATGAGTCACCATAACATGAATGAAGGCATATGAAATTCGCTGAAGTTCTTGCAATTCACGTATTTCCTGCAGGAAAAAAAAACTTAATATGTGAAATAAAAATTTAATTCTTTCCTTTGTTTCTAGTGTCTTGTTTGATCATTCAATTTCAGGACGGTTTGTGTAGAAAACAGTGCGCTAATCAATGTTAAATCAGGAATTTCATATTAAAAAATTAGTGGCATGTGATATGTAATCATGCTGCAGACTATTAATGAAACACACCTTCAAAACAATGAACTTCGATGTATCTCCCATCATCAGCAGCATAGAAGCCCTATCCATACAAAATGGGGTAAGCTAAATGAATCATTCTTAACCATTTCTTTCCCCTAAGGGTCATATTAGACTTAATTCTAGTTCAGTTTTAATCTTCTAAAAGTTCCCTCACATTGTTAATTTTTGTCTACCACTTTTCCTACCTAGCATCTTCACATTGTTCACATTGTCCTAGTTAGATCTTCGTATAAAAATGCCAATATAACCTTGATCCTCCCTAGATGCTTTCGTGCATGTCCTCTAGCACAGACATTTTGCACTAATTTCCATCTCATTATTTTCAACTCAAAGACGAGGCAAGGCTTCCTATGTTTCAAACTTACTGAGGAGCTAAGCAGAGTCTTGATTAAACCTCAATAACTAGTTCAATTTCTCCAATTTCTTCAAGTTTATATATCACAATAGGGAACATGATTAAAATTGTCCCTTAACTCTTTATTAAGGACCAAAATGGCCCCTAACATATTAAAAGACCATTTTGGTCCATCAAGTACTTAAAAAGGAGCCAAAATAGTCCTATGATAGGACTTTTTTGGTTCATCTTTAAAGAGTTGAGGGATCAAAATAATATTTTAATATAGTTAGGGGCCATTTTGATCATTTATAAAGAGTCGAGGAATATTTTGATTATTCTCTCTATCATGGTTTAAAATTGCGCAATTAGAGGCGCGCCTTTGCGCAATTTCACCAAAAAACGCCTCGAGGCTTACGCAATTCTGGACCTGGCTGAGGCGTACGCCTCACCTGGACTGAGGCGCGCCTCAGAGGCGCAATTGCGCAATTCTGGGTGAGGCGTACGCCTCATAGAACCGGCCCCACCCACTTAAAATGAAGGCTTTTCTCCCCCTTAATCCCGCACGGCTTCCCTCATCTCCGAAAAAAACCCCTCCCAGCTCTCTGTTCGCGAAACCGCACGCGTCCCGCACGGTCGGCCAAGCTTCCCGCCGCTCCTCCCACCGGCGCCGCCCCTCTCCGGCGAAGTGAAAACTTTCGGCCACCCTCTAGGAGTACTCCATTCGATTTTAGGTATTTTTTTTAAGTTTAGGGATTTATTTTGCAAGTTTAAGAGAAATTAGGGTTTAGTTTTTTTTGATTTTTTTGGAATGTATTTGATTTTTTGCTTTAGGAGACATGGTTAGAGGTAAAGAAAAGACGAATACGTCATTGCGGAGGGACCCTTCTTGGAGGTATAGTGTACAAGTTGACATTGGCGGCGGCGAGAAGAGCTATGTATATTTAAAGTGCAACTTTTGTGAGAAAGTTGTGAAGGGCGGAGTAACCCGCATGAAGGAGCACTTATCATGCTCTCACAAGAACGTAGCACCTTGTGCAAAAGTGTCGGACAATGTGAAGGAAGAAATATGTGCTTACATGAAGAAAACTACCACTGTCAAACACTTACAACAGCAACAATTTGATGAAAGGGTCGACCAAGGTGCCTATTTTGGGAGCGAGAGTGGAAAGGGCTCCTCTTTTCTTTTAATGAACAGGGAAGAGAAAAGTGAGTCATGTTGAAGATGAAGATGACATGACATTCATAGATACAATTTGAAAAGAAGATTCACTTGAAGACTGATATTTTGTGATGGGATATGACTTCATTTTATATGTTTTTTGTATTTTGGGAGTTTTGTTAAACTGATATTTTGTGATTTTGTACTTTGGGACATAATTTTATTGCATCTACTTTCTTATTTTTCAATATTGCTATTATTTTCCTGCTAAAATCCTTAATTTTTCATTTACGCAATTCTGTGTTCGTGAGGCTTACGACTCAGACCGCCTCGAGGCTTACGCCTCGCCTCACGGACGAAAACCGCCTCGAGGCGCAGTTACGCAATTTTAAACCTTGCTCTCTATCACAATAAATTACCCATAAGCCATGACATATCACGAGCTTCCTGAAATTAAGATCTTGTAAGGATCATTCAGGTTAAGAAAAGCATACTGAGATCATACATAATAGCCAAAATATCACCCACATTTATATCCCCAATTTCTATTAGCTTCACAAAAGATAATTATGCACCGAATTGTTGTTGCAAATCTGCTTTCAGGGAGTATAATTTTGATGATAGAAAACACTTATGTTTCTCTACGACTGCCTTGCCTACTAACATTTCAGGTCCACAAGATCAAACTGCAATTTGAATCAGCTCAAGATTTGGTAGACTAGGTCTGAGTCAGTTTGAAAATTTTTTCCCTTTCTTGAGTCTATTGTAAACGATGTGGTTCCTGATGCTAAGTAACCTTGCACACACACACTTGGGAGACAATTTCTATCTGTTTTTAGAGTTTTCTGTTTTTGGCCACATCGTCCGGGAGATCCACAAATCGTCCGGGACGATCCACAAATCGTCCTGGACGATCTATTAAAAACAGAAATCCTAATTAGGGCATCCTGGTTAAGGCAGCCGTCATTAAGCACATCGTCCTGAACGATATTTGTATCGGCCGAGACGATAGGCTCAAATCAGAAAGAATCAGCTGCCAGATTTGTTTAGGTATTATTTATTTTTGGACATCGTCTAGGACGATGGACGATGAAACACAATTATGCCTAAATTAATCTGGTTATTAAGAAAAGCAATTAAGGTTTTGATTGCTCGATTAAATCGTCCTGAACGATCAGTTCAAAAAATCTTAGTTGTTCCTGGACGATCTACATTGTCCAGCTACCTTTAGGGCGATGGTCTGGACGATTTTCATGGATTTGAACTAATCGTCCAGGATGATCGTGAGATCGGCCTAGACGATCAAGCTATTTTTTCATCATGCAGACATCCATTTAGTGCGATTGTCTGGACGATATTCAATGATTTATACTGATCATACAGGACGATATCATATCGGCCTGGACGATGGGAACAAAAATCTTATGATTGTCCCAAAGCGTCCGAGCTGATTAAGCAAAATTTACACTGATCGTCCAGGACGATAAAGTCAATTTGTATAAATTAAGAGCTATTCTGAAACTCTTCTATTTAAGATCTCTTGTTCTACCCAAGAAATCATCTTTTGCTACTGTCTTGACCTGAGAGAGCCTAGAGGAGAGGGAGAGAGAGAGAGAGAGGATCTTGTGAGGGGGATTTTGTGAGGGGTTTCACAAAGGTTGCTCCAAGCAAGGATCCAAGTCGTCTTCTCCGATCATTGGAGGTTCGAGAGAGGTCCACTTCAGCAATCGATCAAGGTTCTCTGCCTGTTTCAGGAGGAAGCAAAAGAAGTTGGGTTCTCTGCCTTACCGGTGTCGGTGGAAAGGAGATTTTGTACAGGCTTCTCTACCTTACTGTGGAAGCAAAAGGAGAGTCACTGAGTTTAGTGTAATACTCGGAGGATGCCTCCGAGGAGTGGACGTAGATCGAGTTGACCGAACCACTATAAATTTCTGTGTTCTTTTCTACTGCTTTTTTCGCATTTAATTTCCGCACATTAAATTTCTTTGTGGTGAATTTTGGTTTTGTTGAGATCTTATTTTTGATTGAAAGATTTATTTTTAAATATCAATTCACCCACCCCCCCCTAGCTTGGGCTAGTTCATAAAGGCTTAATATCCCTAACGAACTTTCAATTGTTCCCATAAAATCAATTCACCTATCAATTATAAAATGCAAATCAGTTTAAAAAGTACAAAGAATTCTGTTAACCATCAAGTAATGGAATGGTGTAGCAGAGAGAAAAGAAAAGAGAAACAATAAGGTATTTGTGGAGTTGCTCTAGGTGAAAAAGTCCTATTATTTAATTTCTAACTTTCTAAAACTTCAAAGCGTACAAATATAAAAGCAGGCATTGCCTGTTACACAACGTGCTGGCATTGTATTAAAAACAAATATTTTCTAAAATAGAAAAATGATATGTAAAATAAAATATAGTGTAAAATAGAAATAGGCATAACAGAATATAGGTGGCGGCGGCATGATGTCCTGCATCAATTCTTGCTTCAGAAGAATTCAACTCAAGTTGAATAAGTTGGACAGTGGAGTGAACAAGCAGGTGACATGAATAAAAGTAAGAGAAGTTGAAGGCTTGTGATATGTGCAGGTGCGGTGAGAGGCCGATATGTATGCCTTGTCATTTACCTTACTTCTCAATTGAGAAAGGCTCAAGCTTATGTGGCTGTAATTTAAAGTGCCAGGTAGGAAATGGTCGCCTTTGGAGGTGAACATTACAAGATGAACTTCAGTAAAAAACTTATGTTGCTTGTGTATATCAACAGACTGCATTTAGTGTTGGATTTTTCAAAATTTGTCCGTGCATCTTTTAGCATTCTATCAAACCCAAAAACCATGTCTTCAACAGATTTACTTTTTCATTTCGGTAAGATTGCCTTGAGTATTATTTAGAGGATTTAATGATCATTAGGCAGAGGATTGAAATTAATTATTTGAAGTAAATATATAGATTATTATTACGGCATTAAATAGATTAGATTTTTTTTTACAAGCTCTGATTATACAAGTGTGTATAATTTGGTGTTTACATGAGTTAAGATCATAGTCTCAAACTAATTGGCAAGGGATATACTTATCCTAAGGAGGTTTCATTTATGTAGTTTGTTTGTCTTTGCATGCATTTATGAGTTAAACTAATAATAGAATTACACTGTTTATAAGCATATAAATATCGTACATAGTTACAAACTAGTTCATCTAAAACAAGAGTAACTATTGAAATTAACAATCTAATAATCTATTTGAAGCACAAATTAAAATGATCTGTGTATGCAATAATGTATATGATGGTATTGCGTT